GGTCTGACTTTGATAACATTCAAATAAAGCCCATGGGCATATTTTTCCTCCAAGAGATTTGGGTAGAAAAAAAGGCAACATTGTCTTGATATCTGGCTTGGAAGTTGACAACTCAGAAACCACTTGGTAACCTGGAGGTTATTAATCACCCCCAAGTGAGGATTCAGTAACAGAAAACTAGGAACTTGATAAAGTTTCCTGCTTTCTCAGGGAGAATGTGTTTTTGTGTGAGTTTCTCCCAAACCTGGGACCCCTACCCTCTCTCCCCACCTCACCTCCTGGAGGGGAGCTGAGTTGCACGTTCCCACCTCCACATCCAGGTCTTGAAAAGCCCAATTCAGACTCCATCACAACAGACTTAGATAAAATAAATCAACAGCTGGGCCTGAGAGCGGTAGTGAAGTTTACCGCAATGCCAGGGTCTTAAGTCATGGGGGGTGATATTAAAATAAGCAGATTTCTGCAGCTTCATTCCACCCGAAAACAAATTCAATTCCCGTGCATTTTTTCTCGGACCTTTGATAGAGTCGGTCCTGCTTCTGTGCCCAGCTGCATTGGGTTCTGACACTCTCACCCTCCAGGAACATGGCCCTTGGTGCTTGGCTAACCCCCTCAGGCTGCGGAGAACTTGGGGACCCCTGGGGTTCCATAGTTCCTAACTGGTCTGGGGGAAGGAGGCGCTAGGGAAGACCTAAAAGATGAGTACTAAGTAATCAGAGCAACACTTAGTGTGCAATTCCAAATCACACGGGGTGGGGTGGGGTGGGGCGGGGTGGGGCATGGGGGGATCATCTTAGTGAAGGGTCCCAAGTAAACTGGTGAAGGAGCATCTTTCTCTGCATTTCATCAGAGGAGGCAACAGAGGGGCAGGCAGGGTCGGTTCATTCCTTCCTGTGCTTGAGCTGGACAAATCTGAGTAACTGGCTCCTGGCTGTGGCTGTAGCCAAGTCACCAAGCCAGCAGCAGTTGCTCCCTCCCGTCCCCCGTCCCCCCCCTCCAGATGGTTTTTCTGGGTTTGCTTGGTTTGCTTTTGGTCAGGGGCTTACACCCAGTGATGCTCTGGACTTCTCCCTGTTCTATGCTCCCTGGGCTCACTCCGGGTAGTGCTCAGGGGGCTGTGCAGTACTGGGGTTTGAGACAGGACCCAGGCCTGCATCCTCGTTGAGCCCTCTCACCTGGGGCTCTCCTGGGATCTACTGGAGAAAGGCAGAGCGAGTGTTCCCCACACTGCAGAGTGTCAGGTGGTGGCTTGTTTCCCCCCAGAGATGTAACAGATCTGTCTCTGGGAGCCAAGTAACCCTGGGCTCTTGGGGAGTGAATTCAACCTGGGAGCAGGGATGGCCTCATTCAACTTCCTGTCCCCATTGTTGGTTTGAAAGCAGCCTGCGCCAGCCACTCTCTCCCTCTCTCTCCCCTTGCCGCCTCATTCCCCCAGGAGCCCTGGCTGCTTTTTCATCCCCCAAGCTTCTTCCTCCTCCCCTCCCCGCCAGGGGTGTCCCTCCTTTCCCGCCCTTTCCTCTCTCCTGGGAGGTAAGACCAAGGTGGTTGGGCCTGGTACCCTTCCTGAACTGCGGTGGGGACAGAGGGATGACAAGCACCATCCCTCCTGGTGCCCCCACTGCTGAGTAACCTCTAGGATCCGGTTCCGGCTTCCCAGCACGTGGATGCAGTGGGAGAGATTTAAGGGGTGCTCTGGCTCCTGGAGATCAAGGTGAAGAGCCCAAAAGGCAGGAGAAGTCCCCTAACTTGTCTCCAGTTTAGGAAAAGGAATCTTCCACGACAGAGACAGGAGGGGGCGCTCATTCCAGGGCTAATTTCCCCAACCTCCTCCCTGGACTCTTCCTGGTCCCATCGCTTCCAGTCACTTTCCCAGTGGCCCCACTTTTTCATATCCGTGGTGCCGTTGGGATTTCCGCCCCCCCCCCAACTCACTCTGTAGCACTGCAGCTGCAGCGCTTGCTCTTGAACTGATTCCTCAGAGAAGTACCTTCATCCTGGCATCCCAGAAGAAATCCCTCCACCCCACAGGAACCAACTCTCTTCTTCCACTAAAATGGAACCAGTGAGGGGCTGGAGTGATAGCACAGCGGGTAGGGTGTTTGCCTTGCACACAGCCGACCTGGGTTCGATTCCCAGCATCCCATATGGTCCCCCGAGCACTGCCAGGAGTAATTCCTGAATGCATGAGCCAGGAATAACCCCTGTGCATCGCCGGGTGTGACCCAAAAAGCAAAATAAATAATAAATAAATAAATAAATAAATGGAACCAGTGAGATGAGGGGTTTATCAGCGGTGGGATGGGGGTGAATGGACATTGGGGGTAAAAGATGAATTTGTTGATTCTGATACCTCCAAAGCTGTTAGGCTACTGGAATCAACTCAGCAGTAGCTGGGCCAGAGAAAACTCCCTGACCCTCAATCCCATCTACTGGGGGTGAGGGGGTGGGGGGGCGGGGCAGGAATGTTCAAATTTGGGAATATGCTGGGTCTAGTCCAGGGAAAAAGCCTTAGGGCTTGTCCTGGGCTGCTGGAGAAAGGAACCCTGAGGTCTGAATAAAGAAAACCACCGGAAGACCCCCATGGGCAAAACTGCTCCCTGACCCTCCTTCAGCACCTCCTTCCAGGAGACTTTTTATTCCTGCCACTCCCAAGCTTCCTCTTCCAGATCAGAGGGTGCCGTGTGGTGGGGGGGTGGGGGCTTGGAAGCCCTAAAAAGCAGCCTTTCCTGAACGACACTCAGAGCCCCTTTATCAGAGTGGGAGTTTACTGATGACTACCAGGATTTCTAGGGTGACACTGGGGGCTCCCTCAAGGGGTTCTCCTTCAAGATGACCAGGAAATGTTTCTGTGAGGGCACAGAGGGCCTAAGGAACCTGAGTTTCTCCCCCGCCCCTAGAAAGTGAAGCAATAATAGGCCACTCAGATGCAAAAGAGGAAGGGAAACATGACATCATTTATTTCCAAAGAAAGTAGCAAAACGGATCTCCATGTACACAAAGATCTTTAGAGGGAAAAGAATCACAGATCTCAATTCATTTGTACATATTTACAGCAATGATGAAACCAGGGCTTTCAACTATGTGCTCATTGACAATCACTTTAGTCAAATACATAACAACTTTTTTCTTCTTTCAAGTTAGATCACAGTTTAAGGATGCTAAGGGGCTGATGAAAAAAATCACAGTGAGGGGAGAGTGTGTAAGGTTTCAATCAGGGTGTTTTTCTTTTTTTGCTTTTCCCTTTTTTTTGTACGTGTGAATTATGGTTACAAAACATTTGCCTGTCTGTATAATTCACATTCATTACAATCATTACATTTTCCCATAAATTAGCGATATAAACAAACATATGGGGACCTCCAGTAAACAAATAAAATCAATATAAGATACAACATTTTGTAGCGACTATAATAACAGCATGGGTTACAGCTTGGGGAAACTTCTTTACAAATCATTTATTCAGCACACAGGGGGTGAGGGTGGGGAAGCTGGAACATCCTTGGGTATTTTTTTTTTACTTTTTCTATTTTAAAACCACCTTTAAAACTTGGAGATTTGGGGACAGCTGGACAGGGTGGAAGTTTCTTCCCTGGGCACAATATAAAGTAAAGAACTGCACACACACGTGTGGGTAGAAAGGGGCACTGGCATGCACTGGGGAGTCATTATCTTGTAGACAGAATCTCCTGAGCCCCAATTGCCAAGCTTCTGAAGAAAACAGGAAAGTATTAAAATGTCTCTCCCTCTCCAGCCACTTCTCCTTTCTATTAATGGCAGAAAGGGCTGGCTGATTGCAGCTAGTGGGAAGGAACACACAATGGGCCTATTTTTAGCAAAGATTGTCTTTGAGGAGCAGGAAATATTAACCATCGCTTGGCTGAAGCCTTAGTTCAAAGCATCCTGGGCAAGAAGAGTATTGGGAGCTCAAGGGGTCCCAAGAGTATGCAAATGAGGGCGAGGGGACTTGGAGGGACTGGGGGTAGGCCAAAGTGGGAGAAGTGGGTACAGCGTGGGTTCGGGGTTCAGAGTCTCTCCCTGCACTTACCTCTTAGCAACCTCCCCCAGATCCCAGATCCCGGAGCTCAGCCCAGGCGCTCCACATCTGCACACCTCCGTAGACCCCGTGCCCCAGCTCTCTGCCTTATTTGCTTTTTTGTTTTGTGTTTTTGTTTTCCCTTAGCAGGACTTACCCCTAAAGTTATTAGCTAGTAGAGTTTGCCCTTTTTTTCTAAAAAAAAAAATTTGATTTTTATCTCTTTAGAAACGGTTTGAAACTAACGGAGCAGGGGGAGTTGACAGCGAGGAGAACAAATCGCTGACAAAGAACGTTTTACGTTTCATCAGCGTTGTTAGGACGACAAGCAGGAATGTCTCAGATAATAACTCCCACTTCAAAGATTTCTCAGCTCAATAGAAACCGGACCATCCTTTTTATTCAACCACAAGGACTAGCACTAAAGAAGACTCCACTGTTTGATTTTTTTCCACCGTGTTTATTTTTCCCCTATTCACTGGGGTACTTGGATAAAATAAACAACAAGACAATTAAGGGAACATGGACTTCTAACTTTCCTGCCATCTTTCCTATCCCCTTGGCCTTGGGCTTTTGAGTTCCCGCCCAGGGCCAGTCCAGGCCTGGGGGGCATCAAACACCCCCACTCTGGGGAAAAACAAACTTGGGGGTCATGGAGACTTCTGGGATGGAGGCTTGGGCTACGTTGGGGGCCAGGACGTCACTGTCTCCCAAACTGGACCCCTGGTGGACCCAGGAGGGCTCCGTTTCAGCTCCCCTTTCTAAATCAGTGCTCCCCAGCCGGCCTGGGATCAGGGATCGGCCGCTCTTCCCCCCAACATCTGGGGCTGCTCATTTGTGAAGCTGCTGAGGTTGCCCGCACCGCCCCCCCCCCCCCCCCCCAGTTCCTTACTCCTGAGCCTCTGGAGTCCGGCTCCTCCCGGTCTGAAAACGCACCCCTCCCCATCCCCAGCCCCTCCACCGGAGAGCGGGGTGACCCCCGAAAGGCGGGAGAGGCAGGTCCTAGGGAGGAAGTCTGTACCGGAGCGCCGCGGTGACAGTATTAAATGGCGTGAAAGCAAAGGTCAGCGCAAATGTATCTTAATAGAGTGTCTGCGGCGAAGTGTGTCGGCTTTGAAGAGGCCGCGCTGCGCGCACATTTCCATGACGAGCCTAACGCGGCGTGCTGATGCAGCGTCCAACTCACACTTTCAACCCCAAAACCCGACTCTTTGAACAACCCGAGCTTGATTAGACCTTTCTCCTTTTCTTTCCCCGCTTACAAACCATTTCCTCGCCTTTAGAAACTCGCCATCAAACCCAAATGCGCCCTCTGATCACCGCAGAAAAGCAGAAACAAAGGGCCGGGCGGCGGTTCAGGCGGCTCTTTCTTCCCCTCGCATTATCATCCATTTTTATTATGATCGGGAACAAGTGCCCATTCGCGTGGGTTTTGTTTACCGGAAATTAAATGAAAATGATTTAGTCCGCGTCAAACAAAAATATATACTTGTATACACAAGAAAAAAGGCCTGTTAGACGTAAATATTATGTCCTTAATGAAAAGCCTGGACGGGCTCCAGGCTCGGCCTTTCAGGATTTCAGTGCGACTCGCCCATTGCCATAGAAATCCTAACTTACCATGAAGATGCGCCGTGGCGAAGAAACGTTGCTTTGTGCGCGGGCGCTTTGATGTGGCCGGCGCGGGACGCGGGCGCTCAGCTGCGCCCGGAGAGATTACCTTGCGAGCGCCGCAGTGGACATCTGTAACAAGCAAATGAAAAATTAAAGGCGATTAGTGGCCGGCCAGACATTTTTTATTTTATTTCATGATTTGGGACGAGCCGGGTGGGGGGTGAGGGGTGGAAGGCAAAGGGCCCCCCCACCGGGGGCAGAGGAAGAAGCGAGAAGCGAGAAGCGAGCCCCCCCACCCCCGCCCCGGCGCGGGGGAGAGGGTGGGCGCGGGGCGGGGGTTCAACACCGTCAGAGGCCGCAACTTTCCCAGATGCGGCGGCACCTTGGCCGTGGGGAGGGAAGTGACCCGTGGGGAGGAGACGTTTGCCGGCCGGCCCTGGGCTGGCGGGTCTCTGGCCCCTATTGTGTGTGTTTGGCGGAACAGGAGGGTGGAGGAAACTGGCCAGCCCCGCTCCCGGGCACGGGTACTGGCGATGCGTTTTGGGGGACACTCGAGTTTGCTCTGCGTGAACGGAAAAACAGTCAACCGCGTCCCACTCGGGAAAGACGACCTCCGTGAACGTGTGGGGCTCCGTGGGGGAATGTTTCATAAAGGGGTTCGGGGAGCTGGACATGGCAACCTGCCCACCAGAGTGCCACGCCAGAGACCACTGTTAAAATTGAGCTGGAGGTGGGGAGGGGGCTTGGGGAGAGGGAGGCTCCCCCTCGTGGGAATACTGAACCCCTGCTACCTCCAAATTCTGGCAGCTGTAGCCCTTCCTCACTTGCTTGTTTACTTTCCTTTGTGTGTCTGAGTGTGAGTTTCAAATCTTAGTGAGGATGTGGGGGGGCAATCCGACCTCCCTGCAGAGGTGGAGACACCTCTAACTTCAACACCCCTTGACCCCCAAACACACACATAGACTTGGGAAGGATTGTCAAAGCCTTCTTGCCCCTGCCCTCAACATGGGGCTCTTTTTCTGGGAGTCTGGGACTGGGAAGAGCAAATACACAATTCAGTTTAGACCCACTGGGTGTTTCCTTCCAGACATTCATTATGCAATTCATCCCCCCGCCCCCCCCCCCCACCCGACACACACCCTTTTTTAAAATTAAACCCAACACTGTGCAACTGTTGACAAACCACCACAGAAATGACAGGATTCATCCAGCCACTGTCACCTAGGCCTAAGTCTAATGACGTCACGGATTCCACCAGCCACCCTAAAGTTGCCATCACTGCATGCCATCGGGGCCAGACTGGAAGATTGGGGAGACCTCCCCAAATTCAATCCTACAGCCCCTGCAGCTCTCTTTTGTCTCCATTTCCTGCTGTTTGGACTCACCCCTGCCCCACCTATATAATGCTTCTGGGGCAAAGGACCAGGACTGGTGCAGGGTCATTTGGTGGGGGAGAAGGCCATGGGATCCAGGGAACAGGGGTCTTCTGGGATCTCCCCTCTAGCTCACCTCATCTCTCAAAATGGTTGGCAATTGGGGAGTCTGGGATGCTGTGTATTTTTGTTTCAAGGGGGCATTGGGGGGTGGCAGGGGAATTGCAGGGAACCCAAAGAAGCAGAGGAACACAAGGGGAAGATTGTAAGGATTTGGAAATTCTTTTGGCCACTTTTGCAACTTGCACGTCTCCTGAGGCTGTGGTTGGGGGCTGGGAAGGGAAGTGGGGGCTACCCAGAACTGGAGAAGAAGGTTTCCCATTTGGGGAACCAGAGGGGCCTTCTGGTCTCACTGTGGCCACTGCAGTTACCAAAATTACAGAGAAACTCTCTGATGAGATTCCCCCCCCCCCACACACACACACTTCTTTAACCCCACTAGGTTTCATGCCACCAGGTCAGGAACTACTGAGTGCGTGGCGGGGGGGGGGGGGGGGGGGGCGAGCTGGATCCGATTGTGGAATTAATGGGGCACCTTATACATATTTTAAATAGCTAAGTATATGGGAAATTAGATAGCAGCATATTCAACCAAACTTCCTTCCTTCCTGCCTGCCTGCCTGCCTGCCTGGCCTCTCCCCAGCCACCTCTCTCAGGCCTCGGTGCCCGAGTCTCAACGAGGAACGCGGGAGGCGTGGGCGTCGGCCGCAGGGCCCGACTGAGGTGCGGGGGTCGGGGGGGGGGGGCGTCCTGCGGTGGGACCCGCGCCCTCACACACGTACCATTCGCTCAGGTCGGCGCCCCCACGCGCCGCCGCCACCGCCGAGGAGGCCGCCGGGGGCTCGCGGCCGAAGTCGGAGGAGGGCGACACGAGGGCGGACGGCGGGGCCGAGTCGTAGCCGGAGCTGGGAGGCGGCGGCGAGCGCCCGTGCACCTTCATGTGCTTGCGCAGGGAGCTGGGGTGCGTGTAGCACTTGTCGCAGCCGCGCACTTTGCACGTGTAGGGCTTGTCGCTCGTGTGCACGTGCGAGTGCTTCTTGCGGTCGCTGCTGTTGGCGAAGCGCCGCTCGCAGCCCGCGAACTCGCACTTGAAGGGCTTCTCCCCTGGAGGAGGCAACGCACAGACGTTATTCGCGCCGGGGTGTGTTGGGGGGGAGCTGGCGCGGCCACCCGGCCTCTGCCGCCACCCCATCAACACCAACGCTCTCCCGTAGCCTCTGCGCCCCCCGCCCCCGCGCCCGCCGCAGACCGGACACCCCCTCTCGGCGCGCGCCCCCCGGAGTCCCTCGGGCGCGCCTCCCCCTCCCCCTCTCCCGGGCTGCGGGGGGGGGGGGGAAGCTTAGGGGGAGGAGGAGCGACCACGACTCCATCTCAGTCGCCTGCCCGTCCCGGGCAAAGCCTGCTTCCCCCACCCACCCCGCCCCCCGTTTGTCGGCCTCCGGGGGTTCCTCCCTGGGCGCCCCAGAGCCGAGAAGGGAGCGCCACGTCTAGGCCTGCGCCCCTCCGGTCACCCCCACACACCCGGGCCCGGCCCCAGTCGCTTCCCCAAGGAGGTGGGTTTTTTTTGGGGGGGGGTTTCTGCACAAAAGCCCAAGGCGGTGGGCTGCTTTTCGGCGGCGCGGCCTGAAGCCCATGGCGTGTGTCAGAACCTGGACCCGAGCCTCCCGAAAAAGGAATCCTGAGCCACGATTCATTTCCCAGGCGATTTTTTTTTAATGGGACTGGAGCCCCCTCCCCCTCCCCTGCCTTCCCTTCGACCCCCCCAGGGCAAGCACTCAGCAGTCTTCTTTCCATCCTGCCTAAACCGTCCGGGTTCCGCGCGCGACCGGGAGCCCTGGATGCCGCCGCTCCAGCGGCCTCGGGGAGACGCGGCCGGTCGGCGGCCCGGGCAGACCCCCCGCGCCTGGAGTCGGCCCCGCAGCCTCCCAGGCCTCTCGCGCCACCGCACCCTGGAGCCCAGCCGGCCTGGCCCCGAGGGCGAGCGCGCAGCCCGGAGGGTCGGCGAGGGGCCCGGAACGGCGTTGCCACGCCCGGGGCAACCGCGGGAAGGCGCGAGTTAGGGCGTAAACGTTGGCCGGGCCCGGACCGCGAGCGCGGAGCTCACCGCCTCAGGATTCGCTGGCCTTTGGGGGCGCAGAAAGGGCCCTGGAGAAGCCGGAAACTCAGGTGGCCGCTGGAGCTGCTGATGCGGCGGGGAGGAGGGAGGAACCGTTCTAGGAGAGTTAAACCAACGGATGCCGCGGGCGCCCTGGGATGCGGGACCGGCTACCGAGCTCTCGGCAGTCGGAGAGGGATGCCGGGCTGCTGGCCTTTGTGGTCGGCTCTCCAGCCGAGTCCAGGAAAGAAGGGCGCTAGGGGGGCAGGTTTGAACACACAAAGGCCGCGGCCCGGCCCTTCTGAGGCCCAGGCGGACGCAGAGGTTTGCACCGTGTTTTCACCTCGGCCCCGCAGCGGGTTTGGAGCTCACGGCTCCAGCCCACGCGGCCTTTCCTGAGACTTGCTAGTACGAACTTTCCCCATTTCTCTGGACACCAGCACAATTTTTTTATACAAAAAAAGATGCAGAATAAATCAGTGACCCCCTCATTTTATCTCCTCGGATCCCTGTTGGCCTGCAAAATTAAAACTCTTCCTTCCTCCCTCCCTCCCTTCCTTCCTTTCTTAAATCATTAACAAAACCATGCATTTCAGGGCCTGCAAAAAAGAAGAAAAAATATTTGCTGAAAAGACAGAGGAGCAGAATTTGAGATTCATTTTCCCTGTCTCCTTCCAATAGTTCTCCACACACTTAGCCCGTCTGAGAGCTCCTCCTTGGACATCCCCACAAAACAGAAACAAGAGGTTCCGCCCAGAGGAGGAACAGACTCACATGCAGGGCAGGGAGGGCGTTAGGGACGTCTGAACTATCCCGGCCAGACAGGGTTAAGTAAGGCTGCTCCCCCGGCCCTGGCCCGCTGCTGGCCCGTGGCTGCTGGCCCCTGCGACTGCTTGGCTGACATTAGCCACCACCACCCTCACCCCTCGAGACACAAAGCCCTGGCCCTCTCCCTCCCACCCGGCCTGGGCAGTGTGCCCTGGGTAGAGGCAGGCTTGGGCCAGCGTCCTCAAGTTGCCTGAATTGGCTTAGCCCTGGGGACCGAGTAGGGACAAGCTGGAGTTCTCTCAGCGAGGTTCAGGGACTAGTGAGGCCTGTGCCAGCTCACACAAAGTTGGGCCACGAGAAGCAGTTAGGTTAGCGCTTGCTGGCCGCTCTCTCTCTCTCTCTCTCTCTCACTCTCACTCTCACTCTCACTCTCTCTCCTCCATCCCCTTCCAACAGGGAAGGTGCGGCCTTGCTGACGGGCCCACCACTTGGACACCCTGTCCTGGGTTGGCTGTGGCCACCACAAAGTGAACCGTTTCTGTGGTCTGAGGACCTCTGCCTCCAGCCAGGCCAGGAACCCGGGTCTCCGAGCATCGCCACGCCAGAGATACCGGCTCTGGCTCCTATCACCGCTTCTGCCACTGAGGAAAGGCAACGCCATTAATATTTGAAAAGGCAATTATTTTCCTGTTGAATCGAGAACTGTCTTCATGAATAATTTGTAGTGAGGTCTATTGCCATTTGAGAAACATTTTGTTGAGTTTCCCCCTTTTTTATATTACTGGGCGGGGGGGGGGTGAGCAAGACTCTGGAGATCCCCCCTAACTCCAGCGGTAATGAATGAGGACCGCCAGTGGAAAGGAGGCACTTAGGATTCTGTCCTGAATAGATGCAAACCTGAGCCAGTCCTGGCGCACTCAACTCACTTCTCTGCTGTAGGTCGATTGCACCAAGAATTTAACCATTTTCTGCTTCACAGACTTCAAACAGTAGGCCGGCAAAGAGCAGTAAAAGTTTGTTTGTTTAAAAACCCCCTGTCATTAAAAATGAGTTCCTTCCCTGGCTGGCGAGTACTCGTCTACCTTCATGCGTGTGTGCACATGGTGGCCAGCCCAAAACGGCGGGGCCTGCCAGCAGGGACCAGTCAGAGCCCCCAATTTGCTCCCCCCATATATAAAATGGGGGGGCGGAGGGGGGGAAGGCCCTGCAAGAAAGGGGGAGGTGGCTCCAGAAAAACAGCAGATGGAAACCTGCATTTCCAGAAAGATTCCGGAAATAAAGTTGATTCATTGAAAATGGACTGTGGTCTGGCCTCTAAATGTCCCTGTGCCCTGTCCCCTACAACACAAGGTTTGGGAGAGCGGGTGGGGCTAAGCCCAGAGGCATTCTGTAACTCTAAAGGCTGATGTTTCCACCTCGAAGGGAGGTAAGGCAGGGCAACACCCACTGGAATGGATTTCACTTTTCTCCCTGCCCTCCCCCAAATGGGGGAGGGAGATGTTGGTTTCTTCAACCTGAAATGGGGAGGGGGGAGGTGCGAGAAAACCCTAGCTAAGGTGGTACAACTTCGGTTGCTAAACTAATTAATGTAACTTCACAGGCTGTTCTGGGAAGTGTGAAAACTTTCTTCTTACAATTGCATTAATTAGAGACGCTCCTGGCCAGAGGAGTTCCACCGTGCAGGCGGCTGGGGGCGGGTATGAGGAGGAGTTTCTTTTCTTTCTGTTAACTAGAACTAACAGATGTGGTTGACACATGTCCCCATTTCACTTAACAGCTCAGTAAGTGACATTTAAGGTGGGTGAGTCTCCTTGGGGTCTCAGCTAAAACAAAGAGGGAGGGTTTGTCATACCTCAAGAGTCGAATCAGGAAAGCTCAAAAAAGGGGATCAAATTTAGCCCTATGGGGCCCCCAAATCCCCAGGAAGGGGTGATAAGAGTTCCCTTCTTTCAGGCTTAGATGACCAGCGGGTTCCCAGGCTGACTGTGGAAGAATGATCCCCAAAGATCCCAAAGGGACCCGGGAAAGTTAGACAGCTGTCTCTGGCTTGAGCACTTTGGGGAAGGGTGGCATTTGAAAGAGCTCAAATAAATGCCTTAAAATCAGCAGGGAGCCCACATTTTCATAGACACCCAATCACACGCATGTCCTCCCGACCCCCATTCCACCCTCTCTGCAGAAATCTTGTGCTTTCCTCCACACACAGCCTCGGGGAAAACCGTGAGTCTAAGCAAAGAAAGTTATAATTAACACTTTATGGACTTGATTCTAGAAAACAGTCCCCCCACACACCCCACGCACCCATCCCCCTTCTGTGGAACTTGAGAGGCCAGGGGGGTCGGGAAGAGGCCTCCTGGTCCCCCCAGCGTCCGAAGGAGACAGACAGTACAGAATACTGACCTGTGTGAGTTCTTTTGTGTATTTTGAGATTTTCTGATCTAGCAAAGACCTTCCCACACCCCGGGAACGGACAGGGGAAGGGCTTCTCGCCCGTGTGCACGCGAATGTGGTTGACCAGTTTGTATTTGGCTTTGAAGGGCTTGCCCTGGCGTGGACACTCCTCCCAGAAGCAGACGTGGTTGGCCTGCTCGGGGCCGCCGACGTGCTCCACGGTGACGTGCGTGACCAGCTCGTGCATGGTGCTGAAAGTTTTGGAGCAGAGGCGCGCGGCCGCGGGGTTGTCGGCCGCCAGCCACTTGCAGATGAGCTCCTGCTTGATGGGCTGGCGCATGTAGCGGAAGAAGGCGCCGGGGCCGTGGGGCGCGGCGAGGTTCACGGTCAGGTTCATGCCCCCGTAGCCGTGCAGGGCGGCGGCGGCTGCCAGGGCGTCGCTGCGGGCCACCGGCCCCGGCGCGAAGGGTTCGGGCCGCGCGTACATGTCTCCGGGGAGCCCCAGACGCAGGAGTCCGTTCAGAGTGCCGCTGGGGGACGCCTGCGGCGGCTGCTCGTGCAGGCCCGGGAACGCCGACGGGCTGGAGGCCGCCGCGAGCTGGGGGCCATGGTGCCCGGCGCTGCTACCTGTTGTCGAGACAAACAGCGCGCGTGAGAACGGGGAGCTGAGACCTGCGCGCCCCCGGGCCTCGGAGATGGGGGTGGGGGTCAGGTCCGGCCCGGCCCGCCGCCGCCGCCGCCCCTGAGACGCCCAGCGCGGGAGCCGAGAGCCCGCGGGCTGCCGCTGCCGCTTGGGAGGAGCGCGCGAGGCCCTGCGCCCGGGCCGACGTCTGGGTACCGGCCCCTGGTGCGCCGGGAGCCCGAGAGGGAGCGCGCCAGCGGAGCAGGGCCAGCGGGGTGCGCAGCGCAGAGCCTGAGGGTCGCCTGAGGGTCGCCGGCGCGGGGGGCACGGGTGAGGGGGCCCTGGGCCTGGTCCTGAGGGGCCTGGCCTGCGCCCTCGAGGGTACGCGAGCCGCAACGCCCCGGAGCTCTAGGGGTGGCGGCGTCCAGCGGGTGGACGGAAGGGACGGAGGTGGGAGGTGGTGGGCGCAGGTGGTGCCCGCGGAGCGCCGGGTCGGAGAGCCTCATCGCTGTGCCCCGTGGCACGCGGCAGCTCGGCCCCGGCTCCCCCGGAGCTCCGCACCTGGGGGGGAAGGGGGCTCACGCCAACGTCACCTGACGGCAGGGAACGGGGAGGAACCCCCCCCCCCCAAACACACACACACACAACTCCGCGAAGTTTTGGGTTTTTTTTTTTTGGTGGTGTTGTTTTTGTTGTTGTTGTCGTTTTCCTTTCCCTTTTCCCCTCCAAGTTTGGGGCCGCGGCTCGCCCCTCCCTCGCGCCAGCTCTGCCTGTCGATCGTTCGTGCCTACTTGAAATCCCGGCCGCTGCCCAGGCAGCAGCGGGGCGCGTCAAGAGGTGAATAGAGACTCGGGGCCGCGGCCGGGGCCCGCCGAGAGGAACAATCGCCCGGGTCGCCTATTGGCCCGCGGCCCGGCCCGACGTCAGCGATGACAGGTCCCGGCGCAGGCGGGCGCGCGCGCGCGCACACAGACACGCGCGCGCACACGCACAGACACACGCGCGCTCGTTCCCCCTCCCCCTCCCCCTCTTCGCCCCCCTTCCCCTAATCCACTGCTCATGCGCTCTGACCCGGGCTCGGTTGCTTTTCTACTCTCGGGCGCGCCCGCCCCCTCCGGTCCCCGAAAGCGGGGTGGATCCCTGGACCGGCGCCCCGCGTCACCTCGGAAAAAGCGGGTGATGCGCGGCCGAAGCGCCCTGGGGCGCCCCCGCGGCCGGCCCTGCCGGGGTGGCTGATGAGTGCCCCGCGGGCGGCCTGGGCCCGGAGGCTCTAGGAGGAGGCGAGGGGCCGGCAGGAGCCCCCCGAGCGGCAGCCGGGGCCGCGGGGGCGCTTAATTGTCTTTTGTCGCTTTCCGAAAGGACTCGCCTGCCTCCTTCCTCCGCCGATCCCCCTCCTTTCCCCAACTCCCCTGGGCACACTGGGTCTCCCCACTGGGATCCTTTCTTTGCCCCCCCCCCGCCCTTTCCCCAACTCCATCCTTCCCATTTCACCGCCCGCTTCTGCTCTAGGTACCCCGGCGCCAAACCCAGAATCCCGCCTTGCCCGGAGCGGGAGGCCGGGGGGGGGGGGGGGGGGGGTAATGAACGGCAGTGGAGACCTGCGTGGGGGGAGGCTGACCTCGAACCCGCACCGCCCTCTCGAGCTTGCCCCACGCGTCCCTTCCGCTGCAGATCGCAGCGTACCGAACGGCGCGGGCCGGGAGAGCCTGGAAAACAAAGGCGAGGGGCGCGCGGCCGGGATCTGGTCCTCAGCCCCGGGGTCCTCCTCTACCACCTCGCTTTGAATAACCTGCACCCCTCACTCCGCCGGCCCCTGTCGGAGCCTCGAGGAAGGGAACTTGGGGTTCCTTTCTACGCCCGCCCCGGCCACTTGTTGTCTGGCCCCGGAGCTGGAGAGAGTGACCGCCGCTTTCCCGGCTCTGGGTGGGTTGGAGCGACTGAGAACGAGGCGCTGTCAGTCTGTCCGGTGCAAGACCTACGGGGACTGGGTGTGGGGGATCGGTAGGAGAAATCCCTGGTTCTGGCCCGGCCGCGTGTGGCAGACACGCCAATGTCCTTTGTTCGAGGTGGCCGGCTGGGACTGGCTGTCCCGCCCGGGAGCTCTTTTTAAAAAGGGCCTGAGGCCTCCCAGCTCTTGTCTTGCTGTCGAGTGGAAACTCGCAGCCTAAATACTCGGGCCTCCCTAGCGGTGGGTTTCAATGCCCCCAAAGCCCAGAAAGATTTGCGATTTTTTTGAAGTGAAGTTTTGGGGGCTTGGGTCAAAGACCCAGTGAGCCCGTTAGGGTGGATGGAGCTACCCCAGCCCATCCCAAGAACCCAGACGTCCTCTTCTACCTTGCCTCGCCCGAAAATAAAAGTTTCTTTTTACACGTTTAAAAATAATTAACTTATTTAGAATGGTTGGCAGATTCTTTGAGACTCTCCTCATTTAGCGCATTGTTCCCTGCTCACGGCGGCGTTCTCGCTAGGGATTAACTTCCTTAACAATTTCCCTGGGCTTTGACAAGTCCTGGTCTTTCTGCTTCTCCAGCGGAAGAGCTTAAGAAACACCACCAATAGCTGCTGCTTGGCGCTGTTTTAAAAGAAACTGAAGGAGAGCATTTGACAGCCTCACCCCAACCCGAGGTGACAAGGCTTCCTCCAGCAGTGTTGAGACTAGACTTGGTGCCTTTGCCTCCTTTCGTCTTTCCCTCTGACTTTCTCTCCACTGGGCCTCCTGTCTGGACCTGCGGCTGCAGCCTTCCAAGGAGCTCTCTGGAGGAAGCCCCAGTCTCAGGATTGGGGGTTTCAAGACTCCTTCTCAGGCAGGTGTCTGTTGAATGACGCTTTTCCCTAGTGCAGCCTGAACTGAGCCCCATGAAAAGCTCAGAAGATCACACACACACACACACACACACACACACACACACACACACACACAGAGCCAAGTGTGATCCTCCCTGGGTGCCCTTGCCCACTCATTTCTCCCGAGCATCCCTCCACACTGAGCTCAGAAAATTTCTATAGCAACCAGGCCAACTTCTGCCCCATCCCTCAATGAGAGAGAATCGGATTCCCCACTTGAACCTACTGGTCAGAATGTGTGTCAGACCCACCATCCACTCTGGTTTCTATTCAAACTGGGTGGCACAGAAATAGACCCCCCTCACACACAGATGCACTACAGCCCTTCATTTGCAGCAGAAAACAACGAATACCTGGGGCATTGAATTTGCTTTAGCCTTTTTCCCATCTGTGGAAGTCTGGTGAGGTCAGGGGCCCACACTTATCATAGAAGCAACACTAACTCCCTCAGAAGGTGTTGAAAATAAAAAGGCAGTATTTCCCCTGTTTGTGGGGTTCCTGAATGCTAAGCATGGATTTCATGGGCTCTATGAATGGAAAGCAAATTAAAAAAAAAAGACTGTTAATGCACTGCACACTTTTGCTCACAAATATTACCTCTGGAAAGCTTTGAACATGTGTATGGCTGTGTGTGCCAACAATGAAAAGGCAGATACATCTGATTCAGCCAAATTTTCCTGGCCCCATGGAGCTCCTTCCCAGATGCAGTCTTCCCTTGAAGCACTGAAAACATCTGGACCCATTCTGGGTAGATGCTTTGCGAGTTGCCTTGGAGTGCGGCGGGGGTGGGAGCTGAGAGACGGGCTGGCAGTGGACCTGCAAGCACTAAAGACTCTGTCTTGACCCTAGAAGCGAGGGGTTTCTCACCTCAATTGGCTAAACACAGCAATGGGACCAGGCATTCTCCCAGAGGACATTTCCCCAGGGACACAGAGAGGAAGGGAAACATCAATTTCATCTGCTAATAGTTATAGACAGGGGACAATGGGTGATTACTTAAGGGACTTCAAGGCATGGCCCTGAAATCCACCCCCAAAGCAGTATCAGGCTAATCACAGATGGCAGGCGGGCCACTACTGTCAGGGAAGCATATTTTACTCTTCACGTCAGCTCCTCAGAGTCGCCTAAGGCCTAGGGAGCCTGGAGTCCAGGTTTCGGGGTCTCTCGTGTGGGTGGGCAGAGGAAAGGAGAAAATTCACTCAGAATCTTCCTTTCAGAAAGTCACCAACACTTTCTCCCAACACCACAGGCTGGGTTGGAACATTCCATATCTAACCTTGCTGGGGTTAGCATTGTTCAATCTGCTTTTCAGCCTGTTTTGCAGAGAAGAGAGCCATACTGCAGCCCAAAAGTCTTCAACGGAGGCCAACAAAGCACTGGGGGGGGGGGGGGGGGCTGCCATGGGGGTCTGTCGGGAGAACATTGCACCACTGGATCCCAAACATCCTTCTAACACTCATGCCCTACCCATCTTTGCTTACTCCAACCAGGTCCATGAAAACTTGAACTCGAATGACTTTTTTGTCCCATTGTAGAGAAATAAGACTGTCTCCTCACTTGGAGAAGAGAGATGGGAAGGAGATTTCAGATGACTGGCTGGGCTACTTTCCCCTGAACCCTTTAAACTATGCTAAATTCTGCTGCAATTCAAGCCAGAGCAGGAATCCCCCCAAGCTGAGGTATACTGTTCAGAGCCTGGCAAAGAACAGCCTTGCCTGAACAGGCTGCTTAGAGACCTGAGGTCACTTGTTCTATTCCTTCCTGCCTGTTTCTGGTAGGTTACCACCCAAAGCAAGGGGCAGATCTCTTTCCTAGGCTATTCGCAGACAGATTCCAGGATTCCTGCAGTGAGAGGTTGTCTCTAGTCTTTAAAAAAGAATCACTTAAACCCCAAGAGCCTGCCTGTATGTGCAAGCCCAAATTGCACAAAAGAGATGAGACCTACCAGGATTTTGTAGATAAAGGAGGATATTTCTCCTCTCTGCTCTGCAAGTTTAGGCTTTAATCAGCATTAGTGGGACCGAGCATGAAAGGAAATACAAATATACTTGGATAGAAATGAAATTTCCAAGTATCGATTCAACAGAATATCTTTTTGATAAGATTAAGCAACATGGATAGAGGCGCTTCCAGAAGAGCAGTGAGGAATCAAAACAACTGAATTTGCATAATAGCCACATCTCTCTGGAGAATTCTGTCATCAAATCACACCCTCATCCCAAATAACAGAAGAGAGCCATGTTTTTTAGCTGCCCATTTAACTTCTGTTAAGAAGGATGCTCTTCCTATCACTAAGGCAACACCTTGGAGGCACCGTGTCAGCTGGTGGTGTCCTTGAAATGAGGAAGCTACAGGCCTGGAAGGGGAAACACCCAACCCTAAATCATATGCTTATTCCAAATAGAATATCAAATTAAATTCTTCACAATGAAGGTATTCCTGACTGAGCAGCTGTCAGTCTCTCTGTTTCAGCAGCCACATTGTGGGAACGTCTTGGCTGCCACATTGCAGAAGGCTGGTGTCCCTGGTTAAGATGATGCCTATCATGTAAACCCCATCACCAAGATCAAAGTCTGCTCCTTTCATGGAAACCAATACATGTCAAACCTCATTCCAATCAAATCGCCCGGAAATGAATTCAAGATGAGTATGTCATAGAATAATGTGACAGTGGGACTGCGGAAGGTCAGAGGTGGTTGTTTCGATGAGAGAGTCGTCAAATATTAATTCTAGAGCATCCAGATGAGTAGGCATGGAAGGGGATTGACTGGCTGCTGGTGGGACTTTATGTTGCTGATTTGTGTGTGAAAGCATCAAACCTCCAGAGATAGTGCTCTAAGTTTCATCACAACTCTGGGGACAACCCCAAACACACAATGCAGCATGACCAAATGACAAAATAAAACTCCCTCCCTCAAAACTCCACTTCAGCAAACCAGTCAGTATTCAAAAGAGGGTTTTGACTTACTTGCGTCTTTCAGGGCGTTTCGGTAAAGCCGGAACCGTTTCCTCATCACCAAGGAAGTCTTGTATCTCATTTTCTAATGTTGAGACTGTTGGGAAAGACAAAAGTAAGAGTCACAAATTAGACAACTTTCCATATGCCTGGAAAGAAAGATCCTGTTACCTGACTATAGGCACAAAAGCAAAGGTTGATCTGAAGATTATTTTACTCTGTCCTTGACCACTTTCAAAATTGCGGATGAGCTAGGAGGATTCCTTTGGGAACTGCCCAAATATATTGCAAATTAATCTATCCATGGCGGTACATATAAATACATATATATGTATACATATATACATATTCCTATTTTCCCAACTAGAGGCCTTTGAAACCTGAAACTCATTTATTGTTTTGTCTTGCAAAGAGAATTAAGTCCCAGCTCAGCCCGTTAGTATTCAAACACCCCTGACTTCTAGATATGCAATTAGTTGCATTGAAGCCCCCTCCCATTATTTTCTCAAACTTATGAACCGATTCCAGTGAGAATGTCATGAGAAGGGCTGAGTGTCCTGTAGGAGGCAAGCAGGTTACAAATGGAGCTCTAAGTGTCGGAGCTGAGAGAAGGTCTTCTTTGTGGATCTTGTTCTGTCAAAATGGTAAGATATCCCTAATCTTCACATCACTTCTTCCCTGCAGATTCATTAGGAAGCCATCACTATTTGGTTTTTTGAAATTAATATTAACATTCACCAGGGTGGGGGAGAGACATATTCTTTCTATCTTCTTGTCCTGGCTGACCTCTGCTTCTGTCAGGCGAGGCTAAAGGCAGTGGAGCAGATAAACAGAAGCGATCCACCCAGCCCAACCCTCAGTGTGGCCTAGAAAGACAAACAGTCATTGAAAAGGTCGGACAAACATGGTCGGCCCCTCTGTCATTGATGATATCTGCCTGTCGTGACACTCCAGCCCACAGAACAAGCAGTTATTTAACTTGTTGAACCTCAGGCCAAATCCAAGTGGGACTCAGTTATCTCAAAGGCTTTCTAGGGCTCTTTGTTAAATGATTTCCCCAACCCCTTCAATCCCCACCTCGGCTGATACAAGCTTGGGTGTTCCCCCCACCACACACACACATCCCTTCTGCTCCCTTCTCTCATAGATCCCAGCCTGAGAAGTGAGGGGTAGACTCACCTTTTCCCAGAGGGTTTTATTTATTTTCAATTCTTTCTGACCAAGAGGCATCGGTCCCCAGAGGTAATAAGCTCTTTCCCTGCACAAGCCAGGAAAGAAAGGAGGCCCAAGTTTGCATCCCCACAGAAGGGCGGCATGCTGGGCGTCCTCGCTCTAAAATTTCCTCATGGCAGGATGTCTGGCATGGGAAAAGTCCTGGTTGGTTGGAACTAATAGAATTTTCTTTTTCGATTTGGAGGGAAAGGGGTGTGAGTTTCCCCAGGGAATTCTGTCCACCCACAAAACTGCCCAAGTTCCCCCTTTTGACAAAGCCTGGGTAACTCCTACCCTGGGTCTTGGCCATGTTTTGTGCATGGATTCCTGTCCCCAGGTACACAAACAGTTGTCCGAAGATGCTGGATGTGGGCAGGAAACGGGGACTCAGAGCTTCCCTGAGCAGCAGTTCTCACACTGTAGGCTGGAAGTGGGGGGAATCGCTTCTCCTTGGAGCAAACTCTGACCCCCCTTAGTAAGGCAGGGTTTGCTGCAGGGCTGTGGTGGGCAGGCTGGAAGCTGCCCCAAGTCGCTGGACCTGAGATTCATAGCAACCGGGGATCCACAGTCCCCCCAAAAGTCTCCATCTGCTTGGACTTCATTTTCCCTCCCAATGATTTCTCCTGTTTCAGCTGCTCATACCTGTCTCAGCCACTGACTCGCCAGCCAGCAGCTCTGCCCAGCTCTGCTCTCCTGAAGGGGCAGAAAGAGTGCCAAGACCCGCAGTGACAGTGCTAGGGGGAGGAGAGAGTGGGCTGGTGGGTATATGCAAAAGACACGGGTTGTCCTCTGGGGGGGGGGGGGGTGTTCTGGGAGGGACACTGAGGCTGCCTGCTGTGGGGTCACGGGGCAGAGGAGACCCGATTGAGGTCAGAGGTCAGACTTCAGTCCCCAAGGCCGCAAAGCTTCTTCGGAGGCTGATTCCCCACAAAGCGCCCGGCACAGCAGAGCCAGGAGGTGATGGTCTGGGCCCTGAGGTCTGGTGGCAAACCCCTCTTTGAAAGCGGCCCCTGCCCCGACCTGGGGGATGCCGGTGGCACTGGAAACTTCTCTGGCTGCTCTCCACCCGGCAACCAAGCACTGGAAGTTGGGGCAAGAGGCTCTCAGCGGCCTCTTCTCTGCAGGAAGGGGCGCCGGGGGTGCCCCACCCGTTCAGGACTGAAGGCCAGAGTCTGTCATCGGGCTTCCAGAAGTACCAGCCTGACCCCGTCCCATCCCGTCCCTGTCACTGCCATCCCCAACCTGCGGGCAGCTGAAGGTGGTGCTTGCTCCACTCCAGGGTTGTGCGGAGGCCAGGGCTGTCGGAGAGGGGACAAATGACGACCTTGGCGCCCAAAGGGGGATCGCCTGCAGGCGAATCGGCCGAGGTGCAGCCCTCCGGCGCCCCTAACCCCTTCTTAGGCCGGGCTGGCTCTGGGCTGTGCCCTTGGGCCCTGCATCAACCATCCCCGGGCGGAGTCCTTGGTGCCCCGGACCCCCTCCCGCCTCCACCATGGCTCCCTTCCTCCCAGGATCCCTAGGAGTCTCGGGGAGCAGCCTAGAACGCAGGCAGCTGCGGCCTGCACCCCCAGAAAGCCCGTTCTCTCTCCGCCGGGCGTTCCGAAGCGAGCGCTCCCGGGCTCGAGCCTACGGCCGGCCGGGGCGGCGGGCAGCCGGGGGGCCGCGGGGTGCAGCTCGGGCAGCGCCGGCGCCCGCGCCGGACCCGCGGCGATCAAGCTGAGAGCGGCCCGCCGGCAGGTCGGGGCCGGGAAGTCGCGTCCTCGTGCGGCCAGACCACTCGCTCGGCGCCTGGGGCCGGGGAGGAGGGGGGCGGCGGTCCCCCCACCCTCGGTCTCCCTCGGGGCACCTGACGGTGGCGGAGAGGGCGCTGGCAGCCCTGCAGGGCAGCTCTGGGCCGCGACTCCCCTTGCTCGTGGCCCCCATGGGGCAGCCGGGCAGTTGAGAAGGAGGGGAGGGCAGGCGGGTGGTGGTGGTGGGGGCGTTTGAGGGGGCCTCTTTGCCCCCTTGCCTCCCTCTCCTGGGAACTGGGCATGGACTCATCTCCAGCGACGCCCCTGGGCGGAAGGACCCCCCCTCCGCCCCTCTGTGTCCGTGGGGTGGCGCCTGTCCCCGAGGTTGGGGGGTTAGGGAGGGAGGGGAGAGGGGAAAGAGTGAAGCCGGGACTTCCCCCACCCCCCAGTGGGGTTGGGTGCCACTGGCCAGGGCACTTGCCGCCTCCCTCCTGGGGGAACAGGTCGCGCCTGTCGTGCCCCCCCCCCCCCCCCCCCGGACTCACACACTTACCCGACTCCACCTGTTGCCCGGAGCACCTCATTTCAGCACATCACTTTGGGGTGGCCGGAGGGGGATCCCAAGCCCCCTGGTAGCCTCTCCTGGGTTGTTCCAGCAAGGCGGTCATCCTTCATTTCTCCTTTTCCAGCTTTCGGGGAGCAGTTAGGGAATGTATGATGAAGCAGAAATGAGCCGTCAGGATGATATTTTAATGGCTTATATGTCACGTTGGTGCATGTGCCTTTGAACTGGAGCGGCTCGCCTTCCCTGCAGAGAGCGCTGCAAATCCCTCTTGATAACTTCTACAACCCACAACTTTTTTTTTCTCTCACATTCACTCTTACCCTGTATATTTGGACGCCTTTCCTAAAAATACCCTCTTATCAACGTGCCCCCTTGGATGTTCCACTGGCTGGAGTGGCGAAGACGGACGTTTTTTTTTTTCGGTTTTGAAGAAATATTTTCCCTCCCTCTCTCCCAAGGGCTACCACCACCACCCTCCCCCCACAGGTCCCCTCCCTTGCTTTTTTTTTTGAAAAGCTGGCGAGGTGGGTTCAATATTTTTTTTCCTCTCTAGTGAGAGCGCACAGCCTCCAGAGCAAACTTCTCCTTGCAGATAAGGTTTTTCCAATCTGTAGATGTGGTGACACTTCCCTTTGGAGGGCAGCAGAAAAGACCGAGTGGCTCTGATATATCTTTTGGGGCACAAAGTGTAGAATCTATATTGCAAAAAAAAACCAAAAAACAAAATACAACTCTCAAAGCCCCAAACCCACCATCCCTCCAGTTCCAGCTCTTTATCTCCCTTTTCCATCCTGGGTCCAATTTAAGTTGGCGGATAGGGTTGTGCTGAGACTTGTTGCTGGAAGAGAACCTTTCTCTCTCTCTCTCTCTCTCTCTCTCTCTCTCTCTCTCTCTCTCTCTCTCTCATTCCTACTCCCCAGCCCAACAACAAGCAAGCAAAGGCTCGGCAGGGTCCCTGCAGACACCGGGAAACCATCCCAGATACCTAAGTCGAATTTGGAGCCGGGAGAAGCCAGGGAAAGGGCAGCTGAGTTCAGCAACCCCCAAGGAGAGCCTAGTCAATGAACAGAGTTGAAAGGCAGAGAGGCAGGAGCGCCGTCGCTGACCCGGCCATCCTCCGGCCGCTCGTGCCCAGTGACTGGGCAAAAATACTCATTTTCCTTTTCCTTTCGCCTGGGCATTGGTGAGTTTCCTAACAGGGGCCGCCTGTGGAAGGATGAGTTGAGGTTTCTTTGTCTGAGCAAAGAGTTTAGGGCTCTGATTCAGCTGCAAGAAGCCAAATGAAGTTAGGAACAAAGGGCAAATTGAAGGATTCCGACTCTTGGCTTTTTGTGTTTTCCTTACTAGAAAATAATTAGACCTAATGAATATGCAGACGCTCCAACTAAACCCAGGGCTCGGGATGCTGGGTTTGAAACAGAGCCGTGGAGAAATACAACCTCCATCCTTCGCATCCCCCCCCCCCCCCCGCCCCATCAATTCTCATGCACTTTTTGAAATGCATAAATGTTGCTCGCCTTAATTGATTGAGTCACAAGGATTTTTCCCCCTGCTTTTAAGTGCCATACTTCTCTACCTTTCAACAATCATTTTAATATATAGTCAATGGCTCTTTGTGGATGGGACAAAAAGCAACTACGCGCAGTTGTTGAATAGACTTTGCACTGGGCAAGGACAGGTTAATCGAGGGCTGCATCGCGAAAACAAGCGAGTGTTGTATGTTTGCACTGAATCCAAATGTCTGCATTTTCCTAACTAAATCAAAGGGAGTGTTATTTCTTTTTCTGCTCACTCATCTGAAGGTAAGTAAATTTTCTCTGGCGATCAAAAGCCTGGTCGGCAACAAAGACCGCGCCCGCTTTTTCCACCGTCCTGGTGTGGCGAGTTGCGGCATTTCAATAACTGTGACAAGGGTGACTGATTTGTGAACTAGAAAAGGTTTGAATGTCACAAAATTTACATTGGTCCTATCTATCGGGGATTTAAATACCAAAAAAAGTATTCGGAATTTCTAGGGAGCTTTCAGCAGTCCCGAAGAACAATGGCTCGTTGGGAAATTTACAGTTTTACCTGAATGAAAAGGGCCTGTGGGTTGGGAACAGGAGAGCGAGAGGAGGGGGCTGGAGGTGGGGGGGGCAGACAGGCGAGGGGAGGGAAAAGGGAGAAATGAGAAGAATAACACAAGAGGGGGAAAAAGAAAAAAAATCGACAGTGTTCCAGTTTGACTCCCAAGCCCAAACCTCAATAATCTGGAAAGTTTGGGGCTTCCCAGCACCTGTACTTATTTATTTAAACGTGGATTTCTTTTGCTGGGTGTGGGGAGGGGGCTGCGGAAAGCCCGAGGGACCCGATACAAGTGAGAACATGGAGGCATCGGGTTTTCGAGAGAAATCCCATTTCTTGCAAAGAGAGTGTGGATTTGGCCGAGCGCTCCCGAGATCTTAAATTATAAACAGGAGGGGGATGCGGGCAGAGGAAAGCAAACTTCAAAAGGAGCAAATAACAAAAGCCTCCTTTGCTGCCCTTGAAGGGGTGGGGGGTGAGGGGGAAGAGGGAAGAAAGAAAAGAAAGTTGCTGAATCGGGACATTCTGGAAGTGCCTTCGCCGCGTCGACCGGCCCCATCCCCGCCTCCAGCCCTCGCGGCCGCCCCGAGTCGCTACTCGCTCGGCCGCGAGCGGGTCTGAGCAGGGACGAGCCGCGAGAGACCGACACCGAGACCGAACTGGGGATTCGGAGCCAGGGGTAGGGTGGTGGGAGACGGAGAGCGAGAGGCGCGGGGCGAAGGAGCGGGAGAGGGGATGCCTGGCTCCGGGCAGAAGAGAAAAAGCAGCCGTGGGCCTCCCCCTCCTTTCCCCAATTTTTTTTCCTTGAGAAGAGGGGAAAAATTTGGCTAAAAAAAAGTTGCTACTCCTGGCAGCCCTGTTCGTCAAAAGGGGATGTCAAGCGCTTTACAATACCTGGGATTGATGAGGCGGGCGGGCCAATGAGCGTTGCGCGGCGCCTCGGCGCGCCCTCCGTCGGCTCGGCGGCCGCGGGCGGGGGGAGAGCGCGCGCGCCAATGGGCGGCCGCGTCGGCGGCACGTGACGCCTCCCCCTGCTCCCATTCATCAAGGGGGGGGGACGGTGTCGTCCTTTCAATTCATTTATCTGCAGGAATGATTGCTGCTATCAGTCTCGCGCTCACCGCCCGGCTGAGGAGGTGAAAGTTTCTCCCCAGGAAGATAAACCGCAAAAGACAATATTGTGCATGATTTGCGCCTTTTCTTTGGCATTTTCTTTCTTTCTTTTTTTGCCCTCCCTCCCTCTCCTCCCCCCGATTTTTTTTTTGCAAAAAAAAAAGCAGAGGGGGCAAAAAGGAGAGTGAAGGAGCGAGGAGGCAAGCCTGAGAGAAAGGCGAGAGAGATAGAGAGAACGAGAAAGAGAGAGAGAGAGAAAAGAAAGGGCGAGGGGGTAGCGCAGAAGTGAGGAGGGGCGGACGGCGCGAGACGGAGCGAGCGAGCGAGCCAGTCGCGGCTCTGGCGCTCACATTCCTCTATGCTACAAATCCGGGAGGAAGTTTTTTTGGGGGGCTGAGATGCGCCCTGCCTTCCCCGGGGCTGCCTTGACGCGGGCCGCGCCCGGCAGCGACTGAGCGGCGAGCCAGAGCGAGCCGGGGCCGGCGGCGGGGTCTGCCCGGAGCCCGCCTCGCTCGCTCGCGGCCCGGCCGTCCGGCTTCCCCGCGCCCGGCGGGCGAGGACTCCGCGAGGTGGGTCGGCGCCCCCTCCCTCCTCCTCCTCCTCCTCCTCCTCCTCCTCCTCCTCCTCCTCCTCCTCCTCCTCTCCTTCCTCCTCTTCCTCCGCCTCCCGCACCTCCTCCTCTTCCTCCTCCTCCTCCTCCTCCTCCTCCGCCGCCGCCGCCGCCTCCTCCTCCCGATCTTCCCTCCGCGGCGGGCGAGGGTGGGGGGGGCGGGGGAGGCCGGGGCGCGCCCCGAGCAGCCACGATGCTCCTGGACGCCGGCCCCCAGTACCCCGCGATCGGCGTGACCACCTTCGGCGCGTCCCGCCACCACTCGGCGGGCGACGTGGCCGAGCGCGACGTGGGCCTGGGCATCAACCCGTTCGCCGACGGCATGGGCGCCTTCAAGCTCAACCCCAGCTCGCACGAGCTGGCCTCGGCCGGCCAGACGGCCTTCACGTCGCAGGCGCCCGGCTACGCGGCGGCCGCGGCGCTGGGCCACCACCACCACCCGGGCCACGTCGGCTCCTACTCGAGCGCCGCCTTCAACTCCACGCGGGACTTTCTGTTCCGCAACCGCGGCTTCGGCGACGCGGCGGCGGCCGCCAGCGCGCAGCACAGCCTGTTCGCCGCCTCGGCCGGGGGCTTCGGGGGGCCCCACGGCCACACGGACGCGGCCGGCCACCTGCTCTTCCCCGGCCTGCACGAGCAGGCCGCCGGCCACGCGTCGCCCAACGTGGTCAACGGGCAGATGCGGCTGGGCTTCTCGGGGGACATGTACCCGCGGCCCGAGCAGTACGGCCAGGTGACCAGCCCGCGCTCCGAGCACTACGCCGCGCCGCAGCTGCACGGCTACGGGCCCATGAACGTGAACATGGCCGCGCACCACGGCGCCGGCGCCTTCTTCCGCTACATGCGCCAGCCCATCAAGCAGGAGCTCATCTGCAAGTGGATCGAGCCCGAGCAGCTGGCCAGCCCCAAGAAGGCGTGCAACAAAACTTTCAGCACCATGCACGAGCTGGTCACGCACGTCACCGTGGAGCACGTCGGCGGCCCCGAGCAGAGCAACCACATCTGCTTCTGGGAGGAGTGTCCGCGCGAGGGCAAGCCCTTCAAAGCCAAATACAAACTGGTCAACCACATCCGCGTGCACACGGGCGAGAAGCCCTTCCCCTGCCCGTTCCCGGGCTGCGGCAAGGTCTTCGCGCGCTCCGAGAACCTGAAGATCCACAAGCGGACGCACACAGGTAAGGGAGGGCGCGCTGCGGCGGACGGTCGCGACTCCCCGCCGCCCCCGTCTCCCTCCCTGCCCCCCTGGACCGGAGATCCAGGTCCACGGCGCGGGGCAGGGCGCAGCAGCCGGGCCCGGCCGAGTCCGGGTGTCGCGTTGCAGGAGGCCGCCGGCCGCCGGCCGCGGGCCGGGCGGGCTGGGTTTTCTGCAGGAGGCTTGGAGTGGAGAAGCCGAGGGAGGGACGGGGAGAAGGCGCCAGGGGTGTGCATTCAGCAACGAGGTGCTGGCGGGCGTGGACAGAAGGCCCGGGACACTGGGGCAGAAGCAGACCCGGCTCTGCCGAGCCGTCAGCGCGCGCGCGGAGCCGGGGAGAGGTGGCCGGCTCCGGGCGGCGGCGGCGGCGCCAGCCACTCCGGCTGCGCGCAGGCAAAGCCAAACGCGTCTCTTCCCGCCGACGTCCCTCTCGGAAGCAGTTCAGGGAGGCCTCTGCCGCGGGGGGAAAGAGCCGAGGGAGCCCGGGAGATGAGAGCAAGGGGCCAGAAAGAGGAACAAAAACAGACCGAGGGGCCGGGGAAGGGGGCGGCTCTCGGTGGCCGCCGCCTAATCGGGCCTGGGGTCGTCTTCCGTAGCTCCGGCGCTTTCCAAGAGCCCGATTTGAGCAGGGACTTGCTTGTGAGTCGGTGGGAGGAGTGGGGGGGGGGGGGGAGGGGGAAGAATGTCGGTCCAAGTGGGAGTTCGGTTTCGTCCGTCAGATCCTCAGAGGCGAGTTTAAAAACAAAACCCCCAGCCCCGGCGCTGGCCTTTAGAAAGATGCGGAAACTGGTCGGGGAACAGCGTCTAAAAAAGTTCTCCACAGGCCCAGGGCTGTGGTCCCGGGTGGGCCCGGCCGTTTGAGGTCCCTGGTGCCTCCGAGGTCCGGGACCCTCGTCGCTGCCTTGTCGCGCGAGGTGGTTTCCGAGTCCGGCGTTGGGGACTCGGGCAGGATTTCGCGCCCGAGTCGGGCAAAAACTTGCGGCGCCGACGCTCTCGGCCTCAGCTCGGTGGGTCCAAATTGCAAGTGTGTGTAGGGGGTGGGGTGGGGTACGGGAGGCCGGTTGGGGGGTGCGGAGCGGCGGGGAGGGGGTGGGGGGAGGCTAGGCGAGCAAAAAGCGGCGGGGGAATCAGCCCGGAATGTGAAAGGGGAAACCCGAGAGCCGCGGTAGTGGCGGCGGAACCTTCCGAGTCGCCCCAGGCAGAAAAACCAGCAGCCTGACCCGCAGCGCCCTGTGGGTTCTCAGGAGCGGCCCCTAATAAGGCCGATAATACGACAATAATAAAATCTGGATCTAATTGGATTAAGAGTTAAGATAGTGCAGATGGTTAAAATTCCACTGTAGATAGAGGAACCGTATTGAAGATCCGGGTTTTTGAGCTTGCAAAAAAGCGCTGATAACTCTAGGTCTCTGGCTTTAAAACATAAATAAAATAAATGAAAAAAAAAGAATTTTTTTATTGGTTTAAAAAAAAGCAGCAGCTGCGGCGGAATGTGCCCTCCCGGCCCTCACGCGTTCTGTCCTCGCCTTTCGTACCAGGGGAGAAGCCCTTCAAGTGCGAGTTCGAGGGCTGCGACCGCCGCTTCGCCAACAGCAGCGACCGCAAGAAGCACATGCACGTGCACACGAGCGACAAGCCCTACCTGTGCAAGATGTGCGACAAGTCCTACACGCACCCCAGCTCGCTGCGCAAGCACATGAAGGTAATCGCCGCTCGGCGCCCGCCCGCCCGCGAGCCGGGCCGGCCGGCCACGGGGTTGCGGGGCTGCGGCCGCAGCCGAGGGGGGACCCGGGCCGCCGCCGCCGCCGCCGCCGCCGCCGCCGCCGCGTCGCCTCCTAGTCGGCCGGGCCAGGGGGGCGTCGAGGGCGGCCCCGGGGGCTGCGGGCTGGCAAGGGCCGCGCCCGCTCGAGCCAGCGCCAGCGGTGGGACCCGCGCGGGCCACGGGCGGCAGCGGCCAGCGCGCCGGGCCGCGGCCTTCGGTGCCCCCTTTGCGGGGAGGGGGGTCGGTGCCCGGCGGTGCCGGGGCGGGGAGGGCGCTCCGGCCGGCAGCTCCCCGGCGGCGGGCGGCCCGGGGGCGCCATTATGCCGGTAAAAACGCCGCTTTATTCCCGCAGGTCCACGAATCGTCGTCGCAGGGCTCGCAGCCTTCGCCGGCCGCCAGCTCGGGCTACGAGTCGTCCACGCCGCCCACCATCGTGTCTCCCTCCACAGACAACCCGACCACCAGCTCCCTGTCGCCCTCCTCGTCTGCGGTGCACCACTCGGCCGGCCACGGCGCGCTGTCTTCCAATTTTAACGAATGGTACGTGTAAACTCAGCGCCCCCGGCAGCCACCCTATTTAAGAGACTGAGCACACGCGCGCGGAGGGCAGAAGCCCGGGAAGCCACGCGGCACCCCTGCCCTACCCCTCCCCCACAGCCGGTTTCGCGGTCTCGTTTCGGGCTAGACCGTCCGAGAGACCCCCCACCCCCAGGGCCGAGTCAGTGAGACGAGCACCGAACCTTTCTATCAGTCCCTCCGATCTTTCGTTTGTTTTCCTTTTATTGGAGGGTCTTTTTTCTGTTTTTTTTCTCCTCTCTCTTTTTCTTGCAAAGACTTGGTAGCCAAGGGGCGGGAAGGGAGGGGGCCAAGGAGCTGGCGGCCGCTGGACCCCAGGATGCCCACCCCTAGGGCCGGTTTTCTCGGCGCCAGCAAAACAGGCTCTTGGGGCGTCCCCTTTGGCTCCACCCCCCCTTCTGATTTTTTTTGGTGGGCTTTGCATTCTTGTAAATACAGAATTATTAGCTTACAGCTGTACTGTTGGATTCTGTAAATAGTTATATCTCGGTTGGAGCGGGCGGGCGGGGTCGTGGCGTCGTGGTCTTTGCATTGGGGGAGGGGGGAGGGGCCGGGCGGGAGGGTGGGGGGAGGGGGCGGGCGGCCGAAGTCCAACTGTTTGTACTGAATGGCAAGAATGTTCTAGTAAATGTGCACCAAAATGTGAATTACTTTGTACGATTACAGTCTCCACGTCGACCTAACAGACTTTGATTGGTATTAATGTGCTTTTTTTGTATAAAGTGCAAACATCTCGTCCCAAAGTCTAAGTACTTTAGTGCAGTAAAATGTTTCATGTCCTGTCAAGAATTTCGTATAGTTACGAGCCTGGATCTGCGTGTCAAACTGTTTCATTTGTTTATGTAAAGTGATATTAAAAAAAGATATAAACTATAACTGTCCGTTGCTTTTGGCAAAAGATACAGCCACATAATGTATATAGTTCCTAGCTTCCATATTTATCCGCATGTAAAGAGCCGGTTTATTCATGTTACAGCTATTCAATATTTATGGCTAGAACTCTCGTATGTACACTTTAGTTTCCAGAACTGTTTGGTAACCTTTCGTACCTTATTAAAGATTCTTAAATCTCAGCGATTGTGGTAGGAATTTCTTCATCACCCCCAACTACCTGCTGCTGCCTCTTCTGCCAGCTCTGCTGGGTCTTGGGACAAGCCCGTCAGCCTCCCTCGCCTCTTCTTTCTGTCATCCCAGGTCGTATAACCGTGATAAATGAACGCTGCCCTGCTGGCTCTCCGAGAGGGTGTAATTAGTATTTATATAAAAATTTATGAAACAAATTTTCGGCCGCAGTATAATTTAAATGACCTTTGCAGACATAGAATAACAACCATAAAAATAACAGAAATAGATTGCATAGGCGACATCAATATTAATGTGGGCGAATTGTCTGAAGCTCAGGGGCTCGCTCTGCAGCGTTGCAAATGAACTTGCCGTGGATGGTTCCATTGCCCCCCAAATTAAATTCCCCTGGCTGAGACCGACTTGCAGATTTACAATATCATATTTTAAATCGCTGTCTTCAATTAAACCATTTATGGCCATAACTAATTTTCAGAATGTCGAAGCATGCTTTTCCAGGCCTGCCTTCTTTGTGCAAAAGTAAACGTCCATAAAGCGTTTGACTTGTATTTCTTCAAATGTGATGCTAATTTAAATTAATTACTTCCTATGATATGTTATTATTTCCATAATTTTGCCACTGTTATTAGTGCTCTCAAAAGTACATCTAGGGAAGAGAATTATTTTATGTAATTTGATTATCTTTCTATCTCTTTTATTTATTTCTCATTTACTTAAGAAATTCGTTCCATTGGCTGGCGTTGATACAGTAAATTTGTAAATGAGGAGACAATACAAAAAAAATCTAAATTACTTGTGCTTAATGACTGTGGCAGAACGCCTTTTCTCTAAATCAGATTGTCTTTCTTGCAGTTTAGTTTGATAGATTTGCAAGCTATACTGCTCCCTCGAAGTTCGCTGCGCTGGTAGGAACCACAAGCTTCTTTGTCTCTGCTTGTAGCTTGCATGATCGCCCCATTAAGCAGACAGTGTAGCCAGAGATCACAGTCAGGTCTTGGCTGTAGCTGCAAGGGTGGGGATGAGGGTGAGCAGGAAACAGTAACGGACCTCACTGTGGCCAGGGAGAAACTCAGAGCTTCTGCAAGTCTTGGGCTTTCTTGACTACGAGGAGAGAAAAGCAAGAGGAAAAGCCCTCAACAGGATGAGAACACGGTTCTTAAGCTCCTCATAGAGCTTTTGAAGTGACAGCAAGGCTTCAGAATACACCCTGGGCCCAGGCCCAGATGAAAACGTTACATTTCTCTTTAAATTTCCTTTGTTGGCCTGTCTTTTGTCTCTTGTATTTGTCACTTCCAGCCAACAAAGTTTCCTTGGCCCAGGAAGGGATGAGCTGTACTTTCTGCAGCAGTAAAACAGGAGAGGGTGGTGTTTTACTTTTTTTTTTTAGAGGTTATTGTTATTATAGAAGTAAATATCAACCTTTTCTGAAAAGAGCGCCACCTTGCAAGGTTTGGTGAGACTCAAAGTGGAACACCTAAATAGGGACTGATCCAGAGATTGGTGAGAACAAAAGTTGTCCCCGATTGGCCTAGGAGGTTTGGAATGACCCAGTGAGAGAGCATTGGAAGTGACCTGGGCATCAGTCTCCCAAACTAGCAAAATAGGAAGAGGCATCTCTCTAGGAAAGAGAAATACATCAATTAATAACCCTTCCCTTTGCCTTTAGAGATGAGAATGTCAGGGAGCCTGCACATAACAACAGCACCTTGGTAACTGTCTCAGTGCATTTTCCCTTGGGCCATTTCTTAAGCAAGGAGTTTACTTCAAATTTGGAAATAGGAATGTCTCATATGTTATGTGTCTGGTGCCTTAAAATATCATAGTATAATAGCCAAATGCCACACTATATATATGGCGGATGACCTAACTGGGTATTTTTAAGGATCATATGTAGGCGTGAATATTTACTCCAGATTTTAAATATATTCTTAAATGTTGGAGGTAAAATATTTAAGCACACATGAATGTTCGAGAGCAATACTGTGTGTGGATGTGACACTCACAGGGAAGGAATTTTTATGGCACACAAAAACAGTCAAGTCAGTCCCTCATGCATCTTCTCCAACACCCACCACAAAGAAAATGTCATTAATGATGTAGGTCGCCTAAAAAAATGCTTCAAACTTAAATGCAGTCTATTATTTTGCTGGTACCTTTAATGTCTGCTTCTTGAGATGTATTCTTCATACTTTTCTTCATGGGCTATTAGGTTTTGAAATACATGAATGTGAACAGCGAAATATATTGTTAGACCCTATTTAGCAGGAGTTGAAGATACTGCAAATGGCTGGTTCTGTGTGTAGCTGTGGATTTTGATTTAGGCAGAGGGCTGCCCTGGTTCGTATTTCCATTGCGTTGTATTCTGGATACACCAAATGACTAGCACAGCTAACAAGTTATTAAAAAGTTGTATTGTGTCAACAAAATATTTCTGAGTACAAGCAATCATATTTGAGAAATGAGTTGTGGGATGCGGGTGTGTACATTCATAGAGTAAGCATATAAATATACAAGCACCATTTATGTGGGGCTAAGTAATTTTCAAACATTTCAGCTCTTTTGTTTTCTTCTTCAGAAGCTACCCCCAGCTGCTTTAAGCATTTGCAGCTGATGATTTTGATTTTTTAAAGTCAAGCATTCAAGTTAACCTTTAAGAAGCAAACCACCTCCAAAAGAAAGATGTAACCTTTCAATTGCCTCATATGCTTATCATTTTTTTTTTTTTTTTGCTTTGGCTGACAATGAAAATAGCACTAACCTTCTTTACTGATGGGGCTGGCATTTAAATGTTTTTATTTGTTGATTGTGAAGTTTTCTCAGAACTTGGAAAGGGCTGTGTACAGAAATACTTTCCCCCCAACCAGGTCTTGTCCAACCCCCAAATCTTCCAGAAGTTCCCTTTTTTGAGGCCAATAGGCACTGGGTGCCTTGGACCCTTTGAATGAGTGCTGTTGGAATTGGTACCTGAGAACACTGCTTTCCAGGAAGCAACTTGGAGAAGGAGCTGGTCCTTACAGAGTTCCATCAGTTTAAGATGGCTTGGGAATTCAGTACAGATGACCTGGCCAACTCAAAAAGAAGACACTGAGTTTGTGCCTTTCATTATTTGTGAACTAAAACAGAAGGCATCGGATTTTAGACACCCTACACTTACTGCTTCTCTCTCTCTCTCTCCTCTCTCTCTCTCTCTCTCTCTCTCTCTCTCTCTCTCTCTCTCTCTCTCTCTCCCCCTCTTGTTTCCAAATCAAAATACTATTTACAAACTTATCTCCTCCTTTCTTGTGGAGATATAGACTTGTGTATATACTTGTGTATAGACTTGTGGCCTAAACCTAAACACCTAAGAATCTTAGCATTATGCCTTATGCCTCAGCAATATGTTCATATTAGGAGGGAAAGGATTGTTATTATTATTTTTTTATATAAAAGTGGTCATCTTTGATATCACCCTCTGGTTTCAGAATTCCTGAAAATAAGGTGGCAAAGAATTTATTTCATCACTCCAGTCAAGCTACTAAGGTTCAAATTACCTGTGATGCTCTCTCTCCTTTCAGAACTTTGCCACTCTCAGTGATAGGTACTTGGTCACACTGCTCAGATATAGAAAGTAAGACTTCATGGGAAAACTATGCTGTAGTCTTTTTCTTTTCTTTAAATGATAATTGCTAGTTTGGGGCTAGAAATAAGAACAAATGTTAATAACTTCCTACAACATGTCACATTTGAGCCTTTTCCTCTAAGTTTATTGCAAATGTAATGGCATAATATGCATAAGATAGGGACAATGTTCTCCATTAATCTGCGTAAAGCTGGTTCACTACCGAGTCTCTCCCGGGACAAGAGGAAACACGATCAGACCAAAGCAGGGGCTATTTTTACCTTGCAAGATGAAATCTGGCATTATTTCCTAACGTTCGTTTCCACTTCAGAGCGAGCA